CCGCCTTCCTCACTCTTCACTCTCATAGGCCGAGGCTATGGCGGACTACTTGGGCCCTGCCCTGCTGTGCAAAGGACAACGCAAAGCAGCTATGGCTGCTCTAGCTCAGGCCGCCATGCCTGACTCTGCCTCGAACCTTCTTGGTGTAACTCTCCCCAGCTGGGGTCTCCCTGCTGCAGCACCCACCAAGGTGATGAAGATGGCTGCCACCATAGCCAGGTAAGTACCTCTGGTGCTCCCCCCTTCCTCCTGCTCTTCTCCCTCCTCCGTGTCCTTGCTCCTTCCCCAGCAGCGCTGCTCCAAGCTAGCGCTGCTCCAGCCAGCGCTCCAACCAGTGTGTCGCCAAACTTGCACACCGACAATGAGGCTGGGCTCTTCGCCCAGCCTGGAGATATAGCAGCCTGCTTGCCTCTTGGGCGGTGACTTCCGGGCCGCTCGGCCTTCCCAGCAACCGGTACCTCCTCCCTTTCGGAGGGAAACATCATTGCAGACTCTGATATTGCCCGTACAGGCCCTAGACTCAGACTGGTTGGACTGGTACCCGCCTAGACCTAGCCTACAACTACTGGGCCTCTCAAAATGCCACTTTTGTCTTCTTCTTCTCGGCCTCCAGTACCCGCACATCTACCTCTTCAGGGTGTGGTACCGGCCTACCTGCTACTTGAGTGTTTTCCCCCGCTGCAATCCCTCAATGCCACGGCCACAGGTAAGTACCGGCCCTGAGGGACCCACGAACGGACAAGTAGCCTTGCGGGTCACACACACACTCAAGCCAACCAGCACTCAGACAGACATGCAGACCAGCAAACGTGCACACACACAGACATGCAGAACTTAGTAGCAAGCGGGAAACTCAGCAAGACATTCAGTCCGTGAGCAAAACTCAGAAATCAACTGTGTGTCTCAGTCCGTGTTTGTTCGGGTCATCACAGGGGCCACCATTTTGTATAGGTGGGAATTGTCAGGCTGAGTACGGGTGGGTAGTGTGTTGAAAACTTGGAAAAGCAATGGCAGTTATGGGCGGGTACAGGCGGGTACGGGTTGGTGAGGGTAGTGAAAAAAATGCCAGGTATGGGCGAGTACGGGCTTAAGGGCCTGGGTGGGGGCAGGTGGTGAAAAATATGTCTGGGTCTGGGCAGGTCTGGCTGCAATTCTTCTTCAATGTCTGGGCTCCGACGGCCCGGGTTTGTACGCTCGAATTGGGCCCAGCTGAGGCTGGGCCACGTTATGAGGATTTTTAAACCGCAGTTATGGCTGGCTGTGGCTGCCAAACATTATGGATGTTCAATATGGGTCGGGTGTGGCTGTAGGAGAAGGAGGAGTTTGCGAGCTCTGATTTAGGGACAGGACTGAAATTTGACTCTAGGAGGACATACGAGAAGTATTTGGACAATCAGGGTAGAAAAGGAATTTGACAACGACCTGGTATGGATTTTCCAGCAGTGCAGCGAGGCCCTAGAGTATGGTAGCTACATTTGTAGGTGATGATGGTGTCGTACTTCATCTAGTCGGGGTTAGGTCTGCATATGGCAGGATATCAGTCGGCAATGATTCCCACCTGAATCGGGCCAACCATACACCAGTCAAGTTACTTAGTGGGTGAAGGGAGGCGCCGAGTAGAGGTAGAGTAAAGGCCAAGGTAGAGTAATATATGATTCATTGCAATGAGCTTGGTGGGCATTTACCCAGCGGTCATGCAGCAGCTCCGTCTAGAGGGGGAAGTGAGGCTCTTTGGGGAAGAGGAGCAAGAGGGTGATGGAGGGCATCCCCATCTAGAGGGGGAAATGAGGAGTGGAGGAGACCAAGAAGACCTCCATGGCTATGGAGGAGTGAGGAGGAGTAAGAGGTGGAGTTGCATGGAGGGTGATCAAGAAGACCTCTATGGCTATGGAGGAGTGAGGAGGAGTAAGAGGTGGAGTTGCATGGAGGGTGAGCAAGAAGACCCCCATCGCTATGGAGGAGTGAGGAGTAAGAGGTGGAGTTTCATTGCTATGGAGGGAGGTAGCAGATGCCCATATTGGGCCTGAGGTGAGGGAGGTGTACGAGTAGTCAAAGAGGAGCAAGGCGGTGGAACCAACAAGGAGACTTGCCTTTGGCTATGGTGGACCTTCATATTTATCTTTGTGGTTGGCGCTGCATTAACGAAGCGCCTGTTGGGGTACGGTTGGACATGGACTTCATGTGGAGTGAGGCTATGGAAGTCGGAGGAGGCAGATGACATTGGTTCAATCTTGTGTTCCTCTTTCTCTGATTTTTTTTTCTTTGTTCATTCTTCTTCTCGCCTGGTCTAAACACAGTGAATAGTACTGAATACACCAATGTATGGCTTTTTTGAAAAATTTTCAAGTTTTTTCCTTTTTTCTTTTTTGAAAGGGGCGACCGCCTTGGGATATCAAGGTCGAACTTACCACCCACTGGTAATTCAGAATTATTGGATTTCAGTCCTCTAGTTCATCTGGATTCGAACTCAGGTCCTGACTCCAAGAGTTCATGGGTGTCGCAACTGAACATCCGCGTTTGTAATAGCTCCGGTCTTATTCATGGGGAGCAGCATGTGCTGGGAACCGCGTGCAGCATCCCTTTTACACTGTTATAAAAGTTGGCTCCTTTCCTTCCGCTTTTGGGGACCTGCATTGATTGCCCTCCGATGTATGAAGGGATTGGCAGGAGTCACAGTACCCATGCCTGCTCTTAAACTCCACATGCAGGAGGCTTTCCCTTGTTCTCCCGGCCCCTGTTCCGGAGGCACGTGGGAGGTTTACTGTCGCTTGTTGCCTGCATCACCCCTCGGGATGTGACAGGCCTTGGGCTGCTCCTGGTGGTTGTGTGTCTCGCCCAGCCGGGCGCAGGAGGAGGGTGGGGAGGGAAGGGATAGTTGGAGGGGGCATATGCGAGGATCTGGGTCCTCGGCAGGCCTATGGGGCCCTGTATACAGCATTGCCCGCCCTAAGTGAAGGCGGAGGTGCCCGCCCTAAGTGAAGGCGGGCCTAACAAATCACCTGAGGCCCTCGACTGTCAATTTCATATTTGGGGTCCAGGCAGTTGCGACGCGCCAGTTGGTTGAGAGAAACTCAGGCCGTGCTACACAGACATTTCCACGGCCTTCCGGCCCTTTCCAAGGAATGCAGGCCCTGTGCGTGATTCGCAGCCTCATACAGAGACAGTTGGGCGCCCAACTGAACGAGGCCCAGCAGCCCAGTAGCTGCTGCATCCAGGCAGCCTCCTGGGGCCTTCCGGAAGCTTCTGGGCCCAGGCCAGTCCAGCCAGGCTGCACGAGCAGGCCGGCTCGATCCATAAAGGAAAGAGCTCTCCCCTGGCAGCCGGATTCAGGCACTCGCATGCTAGCGGCAGCGCTGCTGGAGCAAAGGCTCGCGGCTGCTGGCTGGCGCTGAGAGGCGAGGTGCAGCACGTGCGGTCGTGCAGGGAAGAAGGGCGCTGCTGAGGGCAGCACCATAGCTCAGCCACCATAGCTGGTGGGCTTGGACTACAGTGAGGCGCAGGGGTGGTCTTCGGGTGTAAGAGAGGACAGGTGTGGGTGTAAGTCAGGGAAGGGCGAAGGATGATGATGATGATGATGTGAGGGCACTTACCTTGTATTGGCGACGGTCTGCATGTGGGTGACATCTTCAAGTACTTCGGGTTGCCGCTGATGTCAACAGTTGCATTGTCTATTATTAGGCTGATCGTAGCTGTGTAGGAGTAGGCTGGGCGCTGAGCGCCAAGTAGGAGTGTGAGGGACTGGACTCTTGTGTTGCTGAAGGAGAGAGGAAGCTCTCCATGACATTGGTTCTCAGTACTACAAACCTCAATTGGTGTAATATTGGTGCAATGCTGCTCTCTGGACACAGTGTGACTATCTGGCTTTTTATGTGATGGTGGAATCTGGATTTGTCATCTCGCTGTTGCTTATTTTCCTTGCACATATCACTAATGGTTAATAGGTATTGTCATTTTCGGCGAATTTTTCACCGGAACTGCTTTGTTGTTTGCGGAATTTTCGACAACATTGCTTGTGCTGATGCGGCGAAAAACCCCGAATTCCGGGCCTTCCATTAACTCTCCTTGCATTTTCCTTTGGGGGTCGACCCACGGCTCAAAACTTGTTTAATTGTTTCCTTGTCTTTTTTGCACGCCCATGATTTCTGCTAGTTGTTCTGCTAACTTCTGGCCTGCTTTTAGTATGCTCACCTGAATAGTGTCCACTATTTCTCCTTTTGCCTGTTCAAATCCGAAGGTGAACTCTTTCCTCTCCGCCGAGCATCTTGCCCTCGAGATGACCATAAGTACCACAAGTCGCATCTTCTCAAAGAGGTTGGCTTGAACCGCTAGTACACTGCCCCAGCCTTGCAGAATTTTTTTGTCGCCACAAGCAAAACTCGGAGGCGCCGAGCGGCCCGGGGCGCCGTTGGAAAAAAAAAATTCGGCAGCCTCCGAAGTGGCGCAGGTTTCATGCTGACACCCACGGGCCTATGTGTGGTGTACTGGTGCTTTGAAAGGCCATCCAGTGGGCTGGAAACTCTGGCTCCTTTCCAACCAGAATAAGTCTAATGCCCGCGGGAAGGGATTGTCAGTCAAATTTTCCCACGGTGCGTCCCACCATCTCTATATCTGGAGAGCCTCGGACATGCTAACAGCCATGTTTAAGTCTTGCATAACGGATTGACCAGAATCATTTGGAAAAAAAAAAAGAAAAAAGAATCATGGCATCGTCACGCCATGCTGTATTTCCGTTTTGAGACAGGACAAATAAACAACTGTAAGAAAGAATCAGGAGCACTTGGCCAGTTTGAGCCTGGGTTTGGTATGTTTTCCTTTTTTTTTTTCTGGGCAGCATGGGAGAAAGGCTAGCAAGATGGAAGACTTCTTTCTCGAAAAGGGGAAGTCAGTTTTAACCTTGTTAAATGTCGGTTTGCTATTCGTCAAAACGGGGAAGCCAGTCCTAGCCTTGGTCAAAACGGGGAAGCCAGTCCTAGCCTGGGTTGGATGTGAGTTTGTTTTGGTCGAAAAGGGGAAGCCAGTTTTCAGTTGTAACCTTTTCTCTTGTTGTGTGTTTCCACTGTGCTGGGGGGTGGAAGGCTCACAAAATGGAAGGCTCTATTGCCCTGAAGCAAAAGCCTGGTAGTGGTGCTTTGTTCGCATTCCATATTGAGGTGGGTGTTGATAACCAATCGGATCAAACCTCCTCGAGCTCTATGAATGCTATCACAACGAGTTTCCTGCAAAGAATCCGCAATGTGAAGAACACGCAGTCGTTCAGAGACACTGGCATGATTCTGGCTATGCCAAATTCGGCGGTAAGACAAGCAACGTTCGCATGGATGACTCGCCATGAGGTGGGTGTCCAGCTGATTGACAGCTGGCAAAATCTCATGGATATCGTTGCAGCAGGGTGTAAAAGAGATATGCAGAGCACCTGCAGATTAGAGGTATGGGAAGGAGGAGGACTTACCCAAGAAGAAGTGACGAGGGCTTCGAGTTCAATACCCCACAGCGAAGACCACGCCAGTGCCAACATGTCTTCCAGCTGTCGTCACCCTGACCATCCATTGTCAGACTGCGAGGCAGATGAGACATCATCCTGGGATGGCCTCCCTTTGCAAAATTTGCATGTCGTGATTGTTATTGACATCGACATAGTCCCGAGAACGTGTGAATCCTCTGAAGAGGATCTGAAGGGTTTTGTTGAGCTTTTGATGCCTGCTGCTTGTCTGGATAAGAGTGCCTGCAATGACAGTGACACTTGTCAGGGAAGGATTGGCTCCCATGCTCAGTCTGTTTGTTTGATCTGGCTAGTTCCTGCAACAATCGGGACACAGACTCGACACAATCTACAGTGTCTCGGCAATTGCACGTCAAGCGTCAAGCCGCAGTGCCTGGTAACATCGCACATTGTGAGCAAGCCATTTTATTCCAGTCGCATGTTGGAGGCTCTGGAAATAGCAGCTGCCACTGCAAACTCCTGCAAACATCATTTCACTTGCGAGTCGCATCTCATCGCCGACAAGGAGATAGAGATCATAGTTGACGGCGATAGAGGGAAAGCAGCAACAGATGAGGACGGCGGACGGTATGCAAAGACTTTCGCAAGGCCAGATATCTCGAAACTTGTCCGTCCAGGTAGCCTGCAAGACCATGAGCTTGAAAGGTTTGCGTGTCGAATGAACTTTACAGATTTTGAGTTCGACGTGCTGGAAAATTCAGGTCTTGTGATCAACCAGTGTGACAGGTTGGCGAAAGTGCTCCAAGATGGAACCAAGGGATGCGGCCTTGGTCTGAAAGTGAAGGGGGGTTCTGAAGACGTTCTGCCCCCAGGGACATATGCTGGCTGCACAGACAAGCGGTTCCCTGCCGATGAAAGTAAGGGTATGAGTTCATCATCAACAAAGGAGGTGGAAGCAGCGATCACTCAGTTCAAGGCAGAAGACGTAGAAGAATGTAGCAGAAAGTCCGTGAGTAACTCGGTTACAGCTTGCTTGCCACATTCAGCCGAACATCAGGTATGGCGGGCAAGAGCTGATGCACAGAGTGGGATGCCAAAGCCGATGCAGCATCCTGAAGACCCGTCATTGTCTTCCTCACAACGAGCGCGAACTCCACCGGCCTGGCTTGAAAGTGATATGAGCGTCAAGCTGGGAATAGCTGCTTCAACCGTCTCCAATATCATTCCAGACATTGCGAAAGACTGTGTTCCGCCTCGCTGCAGTCCTCAAGCCACAGACGCCACAACCGTCGTTACCCAAAGTCATCCTCATTCATCGAGGCAGCTCGCTGGATTGAAGATCCTGGTTGCCGAGGACACACCACTTCTCCGAAAGCTTGAAGTAACCTCGCTCCAAAGACTTGGGGCAGAAGTTGTCGGTGTGGAAGACGGGAAAAAGGCAGTGGAAACAATTTGTGAGGGAGCTGATGGTTCTTCGAAGAAACGATTTGATTGTGTGTTGATGGACTGCCAGGTATACCCACAAACAAATTCCCTTTGTGACCGTCTTTCCTCCCTCCTCGTACCTGTTTTTCCCCTTGCCGTTCAGTCTTATGATGATATCTCAAGGCCGTTGCCTTTTAAAAACGAAAGGAAGGGGAAAAAAAATAGAAGTTATAGAACAGACGTGCAATTCCATACCTTGTAGCTTTCGTCCCTTTAAGCATCACATTGCAGTCTAGCAATCACACGTCCGCGAAGTTCATGCAGACTGGTTTTGACACTAGGTTTGTTGACTAGTTCTGGAGCCGCGAGGATTACAGGTCCCTTGTGTAGTTCAGGTCGAGTCTTTCTGAAACATCAAGGCTACAATCTTAAAACGAAGAAGAAGAAGAAGAAGAAGAAGTTTGCTAGACATCTGCAGGAGATATAGGGAAGAAAGAGATCGATTCAATGGGGAGAGAGCATTCAAGTGGCGCATCTGGTTTCCAGTTCCGTTGTTGCAAAGCTCAGTCGGAGATGGAGGAGAGAGGGTACGGAAGAAGAAGTACAACCAATGTATGGCAGCGCCAAGTAATAGTCATAATCTCTCCTCCGTCTCACTCTCCTATCTTCCAATACCCCTCCAACTATCGGTCTCAGATCTCAAGTCTGGGGACAGACTCCCAGTACAACAATGTCTAGTCTCCTCAGGCCAGTTCACTTATAACACTTAGCTTTTTCAGGCCATTTCACTTATAACACTTAGCTTTTTCTAAGAATCTTATAACACTTTCTAAGGATCTTAGAACACTATAACACTTAGTTTTTTGAACTTTTTCTAAGGATATTATAACACTTAGCTTTTTCAGGCCACTTCACTTATCACACTTGTTTTTTTTTTCTAAGGATCTTTTTTGAAACGATCGGTGCTCTTATAGCGTTTTCAGGCCACTTCACTTATAACACTTAGTTTTTTTCTGAGGTTCTTTCTTGAAACGATTGGTGCTTATGTGCAAAGCTCCCGAGAATGCTCCTCCTGCACTGCAAGCAAATTTGTCAAAATAGGCGTGCACTTCGTTGCATGGATTTCCAGTCAGTCTGTGGTCAAGGTGGTTGGATATGGCTAGCAGATCCAGGCACGGCGGTACTGACGGTTGGAAGTATGGAAAGTGGCGGTAAGTACAACGGTGGTAGTGCTGTTCTGGGATGTTCCTGGATGGTACCGTTGGCCAAGTAAGTAGAATTGTGCTTAATGATATTAATTTATTTATTGATTTGTTGGCTATTTTTTGCATAATTGTGGGTGGGCTGCGGCGCGTGGGGCTGTAGACGTAAGCACGGCGCAATACGCGCCAGTGCTGAAACGTTTCATAGGCATTGGTGTTGGGTGAACATAGGCGCGATTTCGCACCAGGGGAAACGCTGGATATTGGCGTAGGCGCAATACGCACGAAGTTCTTAATCGCCGCAGCTCAGCGGAGAAGCTCGGGCATGTGCTTGCGTAGGATGCTCATGATGAAGGTAGGAATATTTAAAGAGTAGTAACGGAGTAGGAGTCCTCAATCTGAGTGGCGTGTGAATAGAAGGATTGATTATCCTTGATAGTAGGCTGTTTTCAAGGGTGTGCGGGAGGAGGTGATAACGCCATGATAAGTAAAACTCATGTCATCTTCTTCGGCAAGGCGTGGTATAAGAAGGAGGGTGTTTTGCTTCTTTTTAAAGCACCAGTACCTTCTGGGAAATGGCGGGTTAGACCACCGGTACCTTTCCCATATATGTCGGTCGTGGGCAGTTTCGGAAGGCTGAAACGAAAAACGGGCCGCCGACTCGATTTATCGACGCCGGCCCTCCCCTGCTTGGCCCCCCGTGCTACCCGGCGCATCTCGGCAAAATAGCTGGGAAAGGTACTGGTAGCTTAACACGGAGGCTGCATTTTGTATGTACAGACCTGGCTATACCGGGTGCGATACATGAATGATGGAAAAGCTGTGAGGGCATCGCCGAAGGGTCAAATGTACTGATGGTTTGAGGGTATGTTGCTGGTTATCTGGTTATGAGGTATACCGTACCGAAGATCCTGATGAGCAGAAAGATGCATGACTCTTCCTGATGGTCGGAGGTAACGAACTTTGTCTCGCAAAGTCCTTGCCGGAAGTTAACTGTTACAAATGGTGACTGGGGGCTGGCAGGCTGTGCAAATGTATAGGATATGGATGCAATTTGTTGTCTTAAGTAAGCATTGGAAACAGGCCGGTACATGGATTTGACTTTTGCAGGTCAAAAAGGGGAAAAAAAAAAAAAAAAAAAAGAGGGTACGCCCCCAAACTGTTGAAATGGAGACCTGAGTCCAAATTTCAATGGAATTATATATTTATTAAAATTTAAAACTTGAAAGGAGAAAAAAAAAAAAAAAAGACCGGGCAAGCTGCTGGGCGAAACAGGTATGCTAAAGCAAGGATAACTCCGGGTTGAATTGTGAGGTCCCCGTCCTTGAATTTCACCTATTAAAAAAGAAAACGAAAAAAAAAAAGAAGAAGCCACAATGCACACTGTGCGAGGCCACTGCCTCTATGAGCCCATTCAGCCCCCATTTTGGAGCCAGTCGGCCGCCCTAAGTGAAGGCAGGCTCGACGAGGCCCTCAGGGCCTTATTTCGGCCACTGCGCAACTAAGGAAATTCAGGCAGTTGCGCAGCGCCAGTTGGTTGAGAGAATCCAGGCCCTGGGCCGCCTGTGTGAATGTATGGAAAGAAGGCCCTGGGCCGCCTGTGTGAATGTATGGAAAGAAGGCCCTGGGCCGCCTGTGTGAATGTATGGAAAGCAGGCCCTGGGCTGGATACGGGTACAGGGTCAAACACACACCACAGGCAGTTGGGTGCATGCAACCACCTCAGGCCCCAGGCCTGTTGTAGCATGTCAGAAAGTGAAATGCACTGAAAGCCTAGGATCTAGCAATGACGAAAGTGGCAACAACCAGCAGCATAGGTGCAACATTCACAAGGTGTCAATGTGCGCGACGCAAAGAGTGAAACAACGGGAAATCAATAACAACACATTCGTATCATCATCATC